TTTCAATTTTAAAAGTTGATTGTTTATCGTTTTTTAAATTGAAAATTGACATTTGTAAGTGATCAATTTACTAAGATGACAATTATTTATTCTCAAATAATTTAAGTAAAAAAAGGAAACATGACAAGAAAATTGTTCTTTTCATAGCTAGTTAGAAGGCCAAAAAAAAAATTATTGTCCGACAATTATTTACATTACTCTAATTGCATAATAATTCAAGGGTATAACTGGAAAGGAGTTTTTTATATAGTTTAATCCAAAGACAAGATGAGGTGGGAAACGATGAACCAAACACTTGGTAAAAATAATCCATGCATGAAAAATCTTTGTACTATTAATCCCTGCATTACTAATCCCAACATTATTAATCCTTGCATTATTAATCTTTGGGTCAAATGATCCTTCACAGTCAAAGACACGGTATTATTGACGCCTCCGATTTTCCTCTTGCTATCAAGAAGGCTGACGTCCCTGGGAGGTTAATGGTTGGCTAGGCAGCCTCTCTTTGGTTCTATTGACGCCTCCGGGTTTACTCTTGCTTGTTGGGAAGCTGACGCCTCTGAGAGCTTATTGGTTGGCTTGCTGGCCCCATTCACTGTGCTTCAATCTTAGTAGTTAGCTATTATGTATATTGATCGGGCTTGTGGGGGTTTGTTCGTGTTTTATTTAAACTTGTTATGAGTATATCTTCTAGACTTATGAAGTCCAATTAGATTTATTTAGTTGTACTTAGTCCTCATTTCTAATATGCTTGTGTGCTTTTCTTTAAATTCTACTTTGACCCCTTTTTGTGTCTAGATTATATCTTCATATTGTTTTTACCTTTTTTCAGTAGGTCTATGATGTCTGCTGAGTACCATTGTCTTGGTACTCATGTTATACTCTGTATTTATTTTGTGATGTAGGTCCTAGTACCATATACCATCGATAATCATTCGAGATGGCAGCTTTGTAGATTGGAGGCGAGTGTGAGCACTTGGCGTTCTTGACTTTTTTGTCTCCTATATATTGTATAGCTAGTTTTTTATATTTTGAGACAAGCTTTGCTTTTGGTCTACTTAGGTACGTGTACTCTTTAGTTAGAACAACTCTGTACTTGTGACTTCCAGGTTTTGGGAGGGATCTTTTATATATATTTTGGGTTTGCTTCCACTTTTATCTTATTCTGTTGTTTAGATTATTGTTTTCGTTTGTTTCTATCCTCATACTCATTAATTAATATTATGGGTTACGAATTGGCTTACCTATTGGTGAGTAATAATAGTTTTCATCATAACTCAAGGAATCAGGTCGTGACAAGTTGGTATCAGAGCTCTAGATTGTCTGGCATCCTTGGTATGAGAGAAAATGTTTAGTAGAGTCCTACAGATCGGTGCGGAGATGTTTTTATTCTATCTTCAAGGGACTATAGGGAATTATAAGGAAATTATGTTCTTGGCTTCTTATCTTGTGTTTTAGCTTTGATTAAACTCTATTGCATGAAAGATTCGACGGACAGTATCAGCATATCCTACCACATTTTTAGCATGTGTTTGAACTAAAAAGCCTCAGTCGCGCTTGAAGCTTGAGCTCAGATGCATTCTTCGGCATTCAGAGAATCAAAGGGCAGTCCAAGCTTCAATAGGATCATTGACTACCTCGGTTCCTCGATATTCACTTGTAGGAGGTGCAAACTTCTTCTATGGTGCACCACAGACAGGTGCAGTTCTTGGTGCAGTCGATGCTACTTAGAGCAGAATTTGAGTGGTCCCCAACAGTGTTCATCGTCTGTTTCTGACTATGTGTTGGATTTCTTGAGTGGACGGGGCTTAGCCCACATTGTTTCCTTTAGATCGAGAGTTGAGTTAGAGGTTCATCAGAGTGTTGGCCTTGCCACTTCGATTGGCGTTGGAGAGGTCTACCTCTTACCAGATTGTGAGTCACGTGAGGGCTGTGGAGCAGGCATGTTTAGGACTTACAAAGATTTTAGATCTCTTGTTTCCTTAGGATTAAGAAACCTATATCCATGACGAAACTTTCCTCTTCCACTGCTTGTCCCTCATGATGAACATCTGAACTTCTCGACCAGGCTCCAACAAACCTTTACCGCGACCATGACGAACACCTAGGGCAAGAGAACATTCTTAGAATACAGATAGGCAGAAGACATTACGCTAGTTGTAAGAGGCCTCGCCTTCAGTACAACATTGATAACATTTCACTTCGAGGTGGGTATCAGCAAAGATAATATAATTTGCTCATAAATTATATTTGCACCATTAAAAGACATGGTTCTTAGATATAAGAAGTTTATGCTATGATAATAAGGAGTGCTATTAAAATAAGGCGGAATGGTCTGGTAGACCCTTATACTTGTATCAGTTTGTATTGTGGACTCTTCAACTTAACATTTTGTCAGTTGAACCCTTATACTCAACATAACACAATATAGTAAACCCCTCTGACCATTGACCATCCTTATGTGGCATTAAAATAGATGAGTTGGCAATAGAGTGTAGTCACACACCTGCAAAGGCAAGTCAACATGATATTTAAAATTTTAACTTTTACTTTTAAGTTATAAATTTTTTTAAAAAAACAAATTCAAAAAGGAAAAAACTAAAAAAACTTCTACCTCTATCTTCTTTCCTACACTACCTATTTTCCAGCCACCCTAACCCCAACCTATATTTCTTTATTATCCACACCATATTATTTTTTATCTTCATTTTTCTTTCACTTATTTCTTCTTTCCCCAACCCATCCCTATTTTTTCCCTCTTAATCATCATTTTCCCTCTTCTTCCCCTCCCAGACCTCATTTTCTATCTTTCTGCCTTTCCTTGCTCCTTTTCAACTTCTTTCTTGTTTTTTTTGTTACCCTAAATAAAAAATGAAATTGGGCAAAAAAAATTAAACATAATAAGCAAAGAAAAATCAGAAATTAGTGGAGATGTTGATATCTCTAATGAGTAATTTGACCTCTTTTGGTGTCAAAATTATTCTTGTATTTGCAAGCAATTTGGGGTGTGAAATTGTAATAAGCATTGGATTATGAAAAGTTTGGTCAGATCTGGTTGTAGGTGGCTTGGTTGTTGTTATTGTGGTTGTTAGATGATAGTAACAACCACAATAAATGATAGTATGTATTTTTGTATTTCATTGTTTTATTATATTTGTATCCATAGATTTGGAATTGTATTTCATATATTTAATTCATTTTGTATTTTTTTTATGATAGTTATGTCAATATACCACAGTTAGTATTTATTTTTGTATTTCATATTTTTATTGTTTTTTGTATTCATAAATTTGGAAGTATATATTGAATTTTGATACTGTTTTAGTTAGTATGTATTTTTACAAGTAATAGTTATATTCATTCAAAAATTATGTTGCATTGTTTCTGAATTTAACATTTTTTTCTAATTTGTATTTATTCTAAAGGTATGTCAACTAGTTATGCATTTTATTTAAGAATGAGTACACCAAATATTCAATTATTTCTTTTCAATTTTATATTTTATTCACTTTTTCATCATACTAATTTTTTGTATTTTATATATTATTATACAAAATTCTAAATAAAAACTAGAATAAATAGAAATACAAATAAAATACATATTGAAATGAATACATACACGATTTTTGAAGAAAAAAATAACTATATAGGGAAAAAAATATATGAATACAAATATATTTCTTAAATGACTATATAGATACATCCGGCATCATTATTGGAATGAATACAAATTAATAAAAGACTATAATAAATATAAATAGATTATATTGTGTAATGAATATAATTTTAAATAGGTAAAAATTCTGGAGAAAAAAAAAGAACAAAGTTTAAATTTTATTTGAAAATGTAACTTATGAGAAAATTAAGTGATCCTTATCTTTTTTTGAAATATTCTCTCCCTTGATTTTTTTCTCTTTTGTTATTAAATAATTATATTCCTTAAATAAAAACAAATAATAAAAATATAAATAAGATACATAACAAACAAAAATTTGACATTTTTACTAAATAATGAAAGTGTTGCTAATGAGCTCTCTTAAATGTTAAAATATTGACATTTTAAAAAAATTCTCTATAATTTTTGTTTAAGGATGAAAAGGAATTCCTTAATTAAAAAAAAAATTATTATAGTATTAACTTAGAGATAATAATAAATAATTATCTCTTTTTATTCTTATAAATTTTTATATACAAAAAATAAAAATAAAAATAAAATCTTTATTTTTGTAGCAGGTAAGTTATGGCCTCTAGGGTATATAATATAAGCCACCAAAATTTAAAGCTAAATATTAATTTCAGCCACTACTCAGCTAAAATTCTACGTCGGGGGATATATACAATCATAAATATCGAATTTGATGAATATATATATATAATATAATTTTTCGACATTAAATTCTTTCTATAGCCTTAAATTATTGAGATATCTATTTTTTTTATTAAAGCTCAACTCGCCACATTAACATTCCTAATTAAACTTAAACCTCGGTATATGATATAGTATATCAATTTCTTGGAACATCTAATACTAGAGCCAATAATAATACTCATGAATCTTGTAGTTTCCTTGTCTAACATGCAAGCACTATCTTTATTCCATATATTGCTTTCTTATTATTTTAACTTTAAAGCAAGGACATTCCTATTTTAGAAGCTAAGTGATACAGTGGTGCCGGCTGCCGCTTTGAGTACAAGGAGCGTCACCTTTCCAAATATATTATTGGTAGTTTAATTCAAAAAGAAATAAAGACTTATAAAATTTGTGGTCTATAATGAATGAAAGAAATATATTTATTTATAAATCATTTCATTAAAGCTAAAATAGACATTTTAAAGCTAAACGGTTACTTAAAAAAAAATAAGTCAGTAAATTGAGACAGAGAAAAGTATTATATTTTAACGATTTCAATTTGGAGTAGTAAAGAAGCAACTACAAAACATAGAATAAGTTCTTGATGAAATTATGGTTCAGACTTTGGTATAATTTTCTACAATATTTCACGTATATATGTGTCCAACTTGAGGGTTCATATTAAAAGTCTGTGTATATCACTTATATCAAAAGGTTCAATGAGGAATTGGTTCAAAAGAAAAATGAAGAAAAACACAGAGAAGAAAGATAGTAGTATAGCAAAAAGATGGATGCTTCTTAGTGGAAAGAACAACTGGGAAGGCCTTATGGATCCTTTAGACTACAATCTACGTCGATATATTATTCACTATGGAGAAATGGCTCAAGCAAGTTATGACAACTTCAATTCTAACAAGGCTTCCAAAAATGCAGGGAATAATCGATATTCCAGGAATAATTTCTTCACAAAAGTAGGACTCGACAAAGATCACAACAATCCCTTCAAGTATCGCGTAACAAAATATTTATACGCAACATCTTCAATTCAGGTTATATATATTTTTGAATAATTCAAAAGAAGATTAAATAAGTAGTGGTTTTCTAATTATTCCATTCATCCAGGTACCTGAAGCGTTTATAGTAAAATCATTGTCAAGGGAGTCATGGAGCAAGGAATCAAATTGGATAGGTTTCATCGCGGTGTGTACAGATGAGGGAAAAATAGCATTAGGAAGAAGAGAAATTCTTATTTCATGGAGAGGAACAGTTCAAACATTGGATTGGGTAAATGATCTTGATTTTTTTCAAGTTTCAGCACCCGAAATCTTTAGAGGTAATACTGAGCCTCAAATACATCGAGGCTGGTACTCAATTTATACTTCAGATGATCCACGATCACCTTTCAATAACACAAGTGTTAGAGACCAGGTAAATATTCATGATATTAAATACTCTCATCTATGATCATGTTTGATTGCTCACATGATTTTGTTATTAGGTGGTTGAGGAAGTAAAGAGATTGGTAGAAGAGTACAAAAGTGAGAAAATGAGCATAACAATTACAGGGCATAGCATGGGGGCAGCAGTTGGAACGCTAAACGCCATTGACATAGTTGTGAATGGATTCAATAAAGGATGTCTAGTGACAGCGATTTTATTTGCAAGTCCACGAGTGGGAGATTCAAATTTTGTAAATGCATTTTCTAAGCTAGAAAATCTTAGAATTTTACGCGTTACAAATTGCCTTGACATAATTCCAAATTATCCCTTGATAGACTATTCAGAAATCGGAGTTGAACTAGGTATTGATACAACAAAATCAAAGTATTTAAAAGTACCTGGAGATATAAGAAGCTGGCATAGCTTAGAAGCTTATATGCATGGAGTTGCTGGATATCAAGGGGCTAATGGTGGATTTAAGCTTGAAGTAGGACGCGATATTTCGCTCCTTAATAAGCATTTAAATGCATTGAAGGATGAATATTGTGTACCAACTTGTTGGTGGGTTGAGAAGAATAATGGAATGGTACAACAAGATGATGGATATTGGAAGTTGATGGATCATGAAGATGATGATGATTCTGTTTATGCATAAATGGACTTTTGTTTGTATTAATAAAAAGATGTGTTATGTTGAGAAGATATTATATGACGTTGACAATTTTTGAATAAGTTTGGTAAAGTAATATATGTAGGTATTTGAATTTATATAAAATACATATCTATCCATACTTAACTATCACATATACATATTTTATCTCTATTTTTAAAATATTACATAGAATATCATTTTTAAAAAAATATATCATATTTATAAAAAAATTAAATCGGATACACAATCCCTTTAAATATGATAATGAATAATTATCTTAAAATTACACCTCCTCAATTAGTTGGACACTGCCAATTCAAATTAATTTTGTTTTTATTCTTTTCAGTTGTTTCCCTTTCCAATCCCAAACACATACCTCACGTATCCCACCATTATCCCTTTTTCTTTTTCTTCATTAAACGTTTTCTTTCCCTATCACAAAAAATATTGTATCTCATTCTCACTCCCACACGTATTCCTTCTTCCTTAACCATTTTTATTTCCTTTTGCATGTGCTAAATTCATATCAAACTCTACATAATTAGCATTAGTTAAAGTGATAAAGTAAGAGTATCTTTAGTTTTTTCTATTGTATATTTGTTTTCAATCATATCATGTATTTGATTCGATATTTTAGATTTTTTCTATTCAATTTATCGTAGGGTTTTTATATTGTTTGCTCCATTTTAATGGCTCGTAATTAAGAAAATAGTATGAATATTGTTATGTATCCGAGACACATGCTTTTAAATATAATGTATGAAATTGATACTTGATACATCGAATTAATAATAGATACATGAAATTAAAATTAGATCTTATAAATAGATACATGAAATTAATATTATCATATAAATAGATACATGAAATTAATATTAGACACGTATAACAAATATACAAAATTAATATTAGATACTTCTATGGTACATATGAATCTACTTGTATGATACGTATCTAAGTGTTTTGTTTGTTTGATACATCATATATTGATAATAGATACATCAAATTAATGAATTTTATTATTTTTATCTTTTATAAATGATATCAATGAATTTATTATTCAAATAATAATAAAATGAAATTAATTAAAATAGATACACTCCTTGATTTCCGCCTTATATTAAGAAATTTGGTTATAACCAATTAATTCAAACAAATAAAATACGTATCTCAATTTTAAAATTCGACATATATTTGTATCTCACAGATTCAAACGCATGTATCCTAAGTATGAAATATGATAGAGGAAGTAATATTTAAAACTATTGAAAATCTAAGTAATTAGAACCTAAAGTAATGAAATTTATGTAGTCTATCCTTTAAATTTTATTGGATAAAAATAATTTGAGCTATATTTTGAATACACGTTTAATCCAAATAAATTGTCTAACTTAATATACTTACATTAATTATTCAAGTATAATGAATGTGGATTTAATAGAAACTCCTAACTTAATATACTTACATTAATTATTCAAGTATAATGAATGTGGATTTAATAGAAACTCCAAGTTTACGAGGCTTTTTCGATCATCTGTCTTAATAAGCTGATTATGATTTATGTAATGCACATAACAAATAATGTAAGTTATCAAACAAGTAATATAGTAACTTTTACAAATTAAATTATCGAACAAAGGATTTATGATTTGCAAACATCTAAGTTTCCTTTTAACTATAACTAAATTCAATTATGTGAAAAGAGTTTGAATATTGTGTGTTTAACTAACAACTAAAATGAACAAATTAATAAAATTAAATATCAACAATTCAAATTCACTTGGAATTTTTGTCAATGACTTTAGAAATTCCAAGGCTACGACTTAATTATGAATTCATGCAAAGTATTTTTCCACTTTTGAATTCGAATAACTATCTAGATAATTGTTTTTTAAACCTCTAACCACCTATCAAAATTAATAATTTAACTACATGGTTTGGCATGGATAGATTAAACCAATTATGGATCCTTATCTCTCATCTCTTTCTCAAACAAGGTAAATTTGGTATATCTCTATCCTGGCTATATAGAAATCAATTTTAATTTTTAAAAAAGAATAATCTTGCTTTTTATATTTCATATTATATCTCTCAATTCCTCTTTCAAGTTGAAGAATATATAATATTTATATTTAATGATGATCAAGCATTGAAATAATAAAATCACAAAAATAACATTTAGTAATAATCAATCTTCATCCAACGTTTCAATACTAAGTAATCATATCAGCGCCACTATCGTAGAAAGATAAGATTTAGTTCTCTCATAATTTGATTATCACAGTTTAAATTTTCAAAATTCATTTAAAGTATTAAAAGATAAGAAAGTGTAGAAAAAAACCATAAAATGTTGATGAAAATTCTTGCACAAGTCATTTAACTCTCGATACAAGAATTAAAATTTAAAAAAATATATTGTTTATTTATAGACTCACCGAAAATGCATCAAAATCGGCCAGTTGCAGGTTCGTGGCACGCAGTCCATCGCAAACCTGCTATTTTCTTCGGTCTGAATTTTTCTGTTTTTGTATTTTATAAAAGTTCAATTAGATCAGATTTAAAATAAATTTGGTTCAATATTTTTCAATTAGGTTATTTAGTTATGTTGACGATTAATAAAATCAAAATAATAATATTAAAATATAAAAATATATTTTCTAATATAAATTATAATATTTATAAGTATATCAATTATAGATGTTTAAGCATAAAATATAAATGTAAAATATAAATGTAATATCACGAAAGGTAATAACCAAAAAGGGATTGGGAATGGATTGTAGGTGGTAATAGAAAGATGATTTTGATTTTTTTTACTTTATTAGTGCTAAACCTTTTTTTTAAAAAAATATTTTCAACATAAAATTAGGAGTTAAAAAAGTTATTTTTAAATAGTTTAATTATCTAATAGATCATTGTAATAGTTTGAATGTATAAGTGATTTAATCTGACAAATTCCAGGGCAACTTTATGCTTTTTTCTAAAATTAATCCAAAAATGTTAGTGTGATGATTCCAAAAAAATAATTTCTTAAATAAATTGATGAATCCACCCTACTTATTACTGAATTTATAAGAGAGGAATAATGGTTTGATTAATTAAGACTTGTCCTTGGTCATAGTGCCAAAAATCCATGGCCACGAAATGGACCACGTAGATTTAGAGATTATTTCCCGCCATTATATTTGTGGCGGCAGAGTAAATAAATACTCCATATATTGTTCTCCAGTAACTTACTTGCCTTCCCCAAAAAATAATATTGCAATGTCGGCGAAGAAATTGACGGATTACGAACGGCGGAGGATTGAGAATATAAAACGCAATGAAGAATTGCTTGCCTCCCTTCAGATTCAGTCACGAATTTCTCAACTTTCTTCTGAAACAAAGCGTCCAAGGTAACCCTATTTTTTTTGTTCGTTTCAAATCTCTTGTTTTCACTATACTCTACTCTTTCGGCCCGCCCGCCGGAGTTTGCTGATCCAACATTTTTAAATTTTTTCCGGGAACAAGTTTCAAAGTTAAAATAATAATATGTTAAATGTAGTAGAATAATGATGTACTTTCCCAAAAATATTATTAAAGTGAAACCAGGAATACCATATTCATGTTTGTTTCTTGTGAATTTTGTATCCTTTTTATTTTGTTTTTATGCAAATAGTTATATTTGTGAGTGTAAGTAAATTAGTCATTTGGTTGACATGGCAGAGCTCAAGGCAAATCACATCAGCGAAGTACACAGAAGAAACAAAAGTCTAACTCACCGATTGTGCTGCGGCGGTCTCTCAGGAGTCAAGGTATTCCACCGGATTCCTCTGCCGCCGGTGGGCCAAAAGAGAATATTGATGACAACTCACAACCTACTGACAAAAACTCACCTTCAGAACCTATTCCCATAAGTATGAGTGATGCGTATGATGGCGATTTTGATATCCCAAATAAGAAATTCATTGAAACAATTAAGGGTTTTGACGACGAGAACATGGATAAAAATTCTGTTTTAGGTGACAGGATAGGGAAAAAAAAGGCTTCTGGTATAGTTAATTTGGAATCGTTGAGGTTGGAACCAGACAACATAGCACGGGTTGTGCCAGGAAGAATATTAAATGTGCGTTTTTTTCCCACCAACAATGTTCGAATGGTTGCTGTAGGGAACAAATATGGCAATATAGGTTTCTGGAATGTTGATGCTCCACAGGAGGATGGAGATGTGATTTTTTTGTACCGTCCTCATTCGGGGCCAGTTTCAGGAATACTTGTGGAACCTTTTTCTGTGTCAAAGGTATGGTTAATTTTGTTTCAAGAGTGTTGTACATAGCTAGCAGTCTTGTAATTTTCTTACTTAGATGGCCATTTCTTTCCAGATACAGTTATCAGATAAAAGGAGTTATTCTTTTGAGATACAGTGATTAGAACAAATGTGTTATCAAAAGTTGATACCTTTACTTCTTACGTTGACCTTTTCTTTTCATATGGTGTAACTGCATGCTTTAGAAAGGAAACAAACTTAGAAAACTGCATCTGTGTTCAAACTGTATTTAGTACCTTTACAAGTTTATGCTGGTATTCTATGATGTGGATTATTCGATTATGCATTTTACCTTTTTATTGCTCGTCTTTATATGATTATCGTAACTGCTCTCTTGCTTTCCTGGATTATGCTAGGATGAGATTTTTAGAATGTTGACCAAATACCATTAAGAGGAAAAATATGGCAAGAGATTCTTGACTAATAGGCATTTTGGTTTTACAGATTTGGATAAGGCGTCATGAGTGACAAATAGCTCTTGATATGCGTGTGTGAATTAATCTTGCCTTTCTTTTTGCAGATGATCACTTCTTGCTATGATGGATTAATCAGGGTAATGGACATTGAAAAGGAAATGTTTGATTTGGCATATATGAGTGAACATCCCATATTTTCCATATCACAGAGATCGCATGATGTGAAGTCCATATATTATGGTGAAGGCAAGGGGGAACTTGGTATTTGGGATCTAAGGGCAGGAAAATCTTCAGCATTGTGGAATTTGCATGAAGATAGGATCAACACAATAGATTTTACCTCTGAGAACTGTAATATTATGGCTACTAGTTCTACAGATGGTAGTGCATGCATTTGGGATTTGAGAAAAGTTGGTGCACATAAACCAAAATCTTTACAAACTGTCTTCCACAAAAGAGCAGTACACTCGGCTTACTTTTCACCTTCAGGAAGGCGTCTTGCCACAACAAGGTATTTACGTTCCCATTCTTAATAGGTTATATTGTGGTTAGTTGAGAAAACTAAAAGCTTTACATCATAAATTTTAAGTGCCTTGATTACTTTTATCATCATCTCTGTAGCAGATGGCTAATTCTTTTTCTTGTTATTTCTGTTTTTTGCTTCGTGCAGTATTGATAATAATGTTGGTGTGTTGAGTGGCGCTAATTATGAAGATACATCTATGATCTCCCATACTAATCACACAAACAGATGGATTTCCTCGTTCAGGTACAGCTAATCCCTTGATAACAATTTTTTTTTCATTTTGATTTATATGAGTTACATTACCGGCTTCCCTAAGTTCAAAATGTGGTGATGTTTTTTTTGTTATAGAAGCTATTGTTCATAGTTATTATACTTTTTGTATTGATGTGACAATGAGATAATTTGCTATAAGGTGTATCAGTTCTTCTACTTTGAGCATCTAGTTTATGGGACAGAATTACTATAAGTTTATCCCTCCTTTTTGAGATAATACTTTGATAATAAAAAAAAGATGTTTACTTGTGATCAGTTCAATTTTTTACTGGTTGAGATAGGTAGTTGTTGTGTGAGTATTTCCAAAAGTTTAATATGGTCATTATTTACACTAGACTTGTGCATGCTTTGTCATCATAGACTAACAACATTATTTTCTGTAATATGTTTACTTGGGGAAGCAGAGGAATATGGGGTTGGGATGATTCCTACATCTACATTGGTAATATGCAAAGAGGAGTTGATGCAATCTCAGTACCTGACAAGAAACTTCATTTTACCTTAAGAAGCAAGCACATGACTGCTATTCCATGCCGTTTTGATGCACATCGCAAAGAAGTTGGAATGCTTGCAGGGGCTACAAGTGGTGGGCAGGTATATATCTGGACAGCATCTTAAGTTGGTGCCAATAGATCCTCTCCAAATGTGATCATGGAGGCAGAGCTGCATTTTCCCGTCTGGCTAATGTTTTTGTGGAAGGACAAGAAATGATTTACCTATAGGTTTTTGTGGAATCTTTTTGTTGTTCACTGCTTAATAACTGTTAGTTATGTAACTTAAGCAGTTTTTAGTCTAATCTATTGACCAAATGTCATAGTTTCTTGGTTTGCAATTACCTGGTGTTTCCAAGACTATCTTTAAAGCTAAATATTCAGTACCACTTGCCTAAAACCCTTGTGTTGAATGTTCGGACTCCGAAACCCTTTTACACATCGTATATGTTATCGGAAGGCTTTTATCAGTTGACAACGCTACATTTATCTTGCTTCCTTTTTCAAGTGAACGTATTGTACTACCTGTAAGTAAGTCTAGACACTGATTGGAAAAATCAGATTAATTTGTAGTGTTATAATAGTATCAAAGGCTCTGCTCAGACCGAGATACGTTAAGATTTTGTCCTTAATGAGATAATTTTTTCAAATGTACAGTGTTACACAAATACTACTATGGTTATAGCATGCGCATTCCTCCTGAGTCGCCCAATCTTGTTCCTTCCTTTTTTTATGGTGTGCACAGATTGAGAATGTTGGCTTATGGTTAAAGTTCGAGTCTTTATCAATCATGGACTTTTATTGATTCATTTTATCTAAAATGTTGTGCTTCTGCATACCACTTTATGTTATTTCCGATATATACTCTGCATAGGTGTGATCAGTCTTTACTATACAAATCCTCGCCCCTACCTTGTTGGAGACGGGCTGATGATATTGCTGAGTACTTTCGTTACCCATACAACACTTGTTTAGATTTTAATCTGCCAACACTTTTCGAGAGGGTACTTGGCGATTGTTCAGTAATGAATTACTACCCTTGTTCACAGTGGGGTCGAGGTTTACGTTACTGCTCTTTTCTTCCAAACAGTATTTGTGTATCTCACATGATATATTTCTCTTTTTGACATTCGAACCCTTATATTTTTTGTCACTCATGAGTCATGCTCGTCCTACAATAGGTCTTGGATTATGGTTTAAACTTGTGCTATATCTCTCATACTTTTATCTACTTTATTATCCTATTAACGCTTCCTTGTGACCCCACTTGAGAATGGTTAGATGTCATCACGGCTAAGGTAGAAGTGGGTTTGCAACACATTGATTGAGGCTATGTTTCTGATGATTGGGAAAAGTTGATAAAAGAAAATGATAGAGAGAAAATGTTTACTTACAGAATTCAGGGTGTGCAATAAAAGTAGTGTCAACTTGCTGGATATGAATAATTTATCAGCATTGCAGAGCATTATTGTCATCCACACTGTCACTGGAAAAGACAGCCATAGAGGATGAAGAAAATTGGTCAACTAAAACATGGGTCGAACTTGGAATTTCCAGAATCATATAAATTTTATTGCCACTTGCCTACACTAATAAGACTTCAGAGAGATGCAGCACAACACAAACTTCACATACAAAAGAGAATTGAGATCATAAGAGATGTGAAAAAATTGAAAACAAAGACTGGTTAAAGACATGCCAACGCTTGTTTACCACTGCTGGGTCTCATCTTACAGTATAGGTCTCAGGGTGTTAGGAGAAAAGTTGGAACATGAATGGGGGTAATAGGTCCTGCAAAATTTAAGGGGTCGTTTGGTTGAAAACAAGTTATATCATTATTAATTATCCAGAATAAGTTATTCCACAATGAGGTATCCCATCACTTAAGTGTATAGTTGAGATATCGGGGACAAGTTTAGAGATGCACTGAAGCATTATCAAAAAATTACACTAATAATATTAACCTATATACATGTTGGACTGACTATTCCCTCCTTACATCTCGGATAAGAGGTTGCTGATTTTCCAAAGCTCCTCAAGAGCTGTCATCGCTGTTCCTTGACTTTGACCAGCCAAATCAATCTTAGAGACGTTTTTGAAGGTCCCAACATGACCCTGAGCTTGCAGGAATTCAGACTCGATTACCTGGAAAAATGAACAGCAATAAACGAACTGAAAAATAGACCAGATAAACTATTGAACCAGGTTTTCTCTATTAGAGTAAATACAATTATCTTTCAACAGGAACCGGGACCAAGTCAAAGCGCTGCAGGTCTTGCAAACAATTGAAATCACAAAAAATACTTAAAACTGGGCAAGAAATTTATCACAACTATTTCCATACATTTGGACTAGTGCATCCACAAAGACAACTAGATAGAGAGTGCATGTGTTTGCTTCCTTGTGCATGTTTTTCCATTAACTTTGCAAAATATAAAATAATAATCCAGTTCTACTCTCTTTTGTTTTAATTAAAAAAAGAACACGGTCATGAGTTTTATCCCATTGACTATTTTATTATTAAGGCAATAAATGAAAGGTCTGTACAATCCAGTACTAATTGTACTACACAACCAACCTAATTTTATCTGACAGATCACCAGAGTGCAAATATGTTTCAAGTCCATAAATATATCACATAGTTCCTATCCCTTTGAAAATCTTGCTATATGGATGGTGTCGGACAATGTTCTTTTGTGAAACTAATAGGCATGCATGCCTCATTGATATTGGGCCCCAGGTCCATCTCTAAATTTCTATTTTGGGAAGCATAAACAATAATCAGATAGAATCTTAAAACATCTTTACTTCACAAAAAGGAAAATATAAAGGGAAATGGAGAAGATAAAAGAACAAAGAGACCATGCTAAGATGAAATGCACGAATTTGGAAAGATGAAGTCTGACTAAAACAGAAGAAATTAGTAAATTCATATACAGAAAAATTATATAATTCGTTCAGCTTCGTAATTGAAGCTCCAGAATGTCTTGAGAAAATTATAAGAGCTAAATCCACATAGTTAAATTATTAAATTTTGTTAAGAATGTTCCAACAAAATTCGAGAATGCTAACCATCGAAAGGATGGATAAATTATTTATTATCTAAAGGTATGTTCAGTATGGAGGAAAACATGTTTTCCATTGTGGTCAAAATTTTGGAGAACATTTTCTCTAGGAAAACAAGTTCCTTAAAAATTACTTCCCAAGGGAGACTAGTATATACAAAAATAACAACTTCACTTGAATCCCAAGCTAGTGGAAGTCAACTGAATGAATCGTCATGATTCATTAAGCCCTATTTGGAATCATTATATTCCAATATTCAATAAGATAACTACATATAAAGTAACAAAGTAAAGCACTCTAACCTGGATTTTTTCGTGCATAGACTGTCCCAGATTTCTCAATGTAGCTATAAGATTTTGGTCTACAGTTTCCTCTTTGATTACTTCATAGTTATGAGATGCATCAGCTGTAGAAGAACCAGCTGGAGTGGTCAGATTATTCCCACCATTGCAAGCTTTTATGGAATCACAAAGACCACTTCTATCAGACGTTTCCTCATCAGCATTTCGTCCAAATTTCCATAACCTCTGAAATTTACCAGAAACAGATCTCTGTTCCTTCAAGCCTATTGTACATTTACCTCCTGAGGCATCGTTAGGTTCAGATTTTGAACAGGCCTGCTGTGGTGGATCCAAACTTCGGAGAGGTGAGTTTCCCAGATTGGTTCCAGACACCTCACCTCTATTGGCATCAACGTTAGTTTCATCTGCATATGAGTTTGATGCAACACTACTCTCAGATCTATTTTCAGGATCACCAGCATGTATAGGACTTGGGGGATCTGAGAAAATAGAAGCACTCTGTACACTAGCAGCATTTCTGCTTGACCACATTTGCTCAGATGCGCAAGTCAAATCATCTCTACTGTAACCATCTTGTACATTTACCGCAACTGGGTTTTTCTCCTGTACATTATCATCACCAATATGATTATTTTCATCTTCATCCGAACAAAGGTTCTGAGGCATATCTTTCAATAAATTTTTCCTAACCGATAACTTGGGATCTTTTCTTCCATTATTAACCTTAGATGGCGATGGAGCTGACTCGGTTCTAGTAAGATGCAACTCAGAGCAACCTTTTCTTTGCTTTGAAGTTTGTTTCTGTATGCAATTTTGCTTGTGCTCTTCTTCTTTGTGTATAACTCTCCACTTTTCTTCCCAATAGCTTTCTGGTACCAAATTTATAGGAGTCCTTTGGGAGCTTAAATCATTTGAATTGCTATGACCACTCACAACTTTTGACTTACTTCTACCATAGTCTCCACCTTGGCCAACTAAGGGAGTTGAATTGCTGACCTCCGTTGCCAAAGCCTGCAGGGATTTTGCCTTTGCTATCAGTTTTTCTACAATTGCGTCATCTGGAAAATTTAGCAATCGTTGAAGGCACACAGTAGCATTTTCAGTGGCAAGTAGTGAAGGTCTCAAGTGAAGTATCATAGTAACTGCATAAGCTGAGATGAATGTTCCTCTGTTTGAATTCAAGACACTGCAGCTCGACTCAGCAGCAATTTCAGAAGATTTCACCATCTTCTTGTTTTCACATGCAAATATTTCATCCCAGATTATCAATAGGTCTTCAAGTGCAAATTCACGCCCAAATAGTACTCGTAACCAACGAAGTGCAAAGTACTGTGGTTCAACCCCTAGCTCGACAAGGTGGCTGTGGAGAGAGGAATCAATAAGTGAAAGCAAATGGTAAAGTGCTGCTGAAGCTTCAACAACAGGGGAAAAGCCAGCATGAGGAGTACCATATGGTGAATGGGAGAAGAACTCTGCCATAGCAACTGCACCGCTAGCCCCATTCATCAAAGCATCAAACATACAGTATGCATCATGTTCCATAAACTTCTCGGACAAAAGAATACCAAGCTCACCTTCAGTACAGTAAGCATCATTCAGCAAAACAATGCATTGTATCTTGGGATCTAGTTCAGTTAAACTAGTAATTTTCAGTGGACTGCTTTCGGATCTATTTTCTTCTTCCTCAGATTCTGAAAATTTTCGGATATCAAATTTATATGTAAAATCGTTTTCATGAAATGAAAAACCATCAAATTTGTCAGCAAAGTCATAAAGATTCCTCACTTCAGAAAGCTGCTCAATATCAGCTTGAAGAACATAGAGAAGTGGGGCCAACAGTTCATGCATCCCTGCAAACCAAAAGCAGAATGCTTATCATCTTACTGAGAGGACAAAAAAAGATCAATTATCACAAGAATAGAAGAGGACAAAAAAAGATCAATTATCATAAGAATAGAAGGTACATGAGTCATGACATATATACCTTCCTTCCCCCCCCCCCCCAAAAAAAAAAAACGACACATGGCACGGTCGCTAATATGGACTCCAAGGTTATGTTAGATTAAGCAGATCGAAGCGAATACAAAAAGAGGGGAGCTTTTTCATT